ATTCGTCTCGACTCGATCGACGACCGCGACTCTATTATTGATAATCATTCAGACTCGAGAACGGCTTGGGAGCCCGTGCTTTGCCCGTCTCGCCGATCATCCCCTACCGGTTTTTGTTTCCCTCTGACGGGGAAAAGCATTGTACTTTTCCCGAAATAATTGCAGTGTTCTCTTCTTTCCGTCAGGCTTGACACGCGGAGGATAATCGACGCGCGAATACCTTCTGGACAGCTACGAGTGAGACGTAAGTGCCGTTTTGCGTTTGATTCGAACGCGTTGAATGAAATGATTTGCTGAGGAATGAAGGAACTGTGAAGACGCTCTCGTTGGAAATTAGTAAGTAAATTCATTTATTCGAGCGCATCGTTCAATGCTTCGCATTGTTTGCAACAGCTTGTTACGTTCAAGTGCCCACGATATCACCGACTCGGATCACTGGTTGCGCGTGACCATAATGACGGACGTGCCTACTAAGAGTTTCCTGTAAGTAACATGCTCTGTTTCAATGTTTCTCGTACGACGAATCATGTTCACCCTTCATCTTATTCGTCATTCACTCATACTTCTGCTAAATGCCGTGCAATTATTCTTCCCGGAGAATGAAAATCACGGTGCTTTCTTTTTCAACTGTACCTACTAGTTATCAGTGTCATCTATTCAGCAATTAGGCGTTATTTGTTTAAGCAATCTCGATAGGCGGAGGGGAAAGAGTAATTGAACGCGTTTCTGCCGCTAATCCGCGACCGTCCCCCTCCCCGTTAAAGCGAAAAGATTCACCCCGAGCCGAATCCCATTTGCCCGGCGCATTCGTGTGCGGCTGTATCCAGATGAAATTTCGTGTCCCACGGGGGGAGCGAGTATCGCAAATTACCGATAACAATCGACAGCCTAGGGAGATAATTTCCAGGCAATTCACGCCCAACCCACTACCCTAATTCCCGTTGATTCGCCGCTGTCTAAATCGCGACAGATGCGGCGGGGAACGGGCGGAAAGGTGATTCGTCGTGAAAAACAAACAGGCGGGCAATTTATATCAAATCTCTTTTATTCGGTGAAAAATAAAATAAAGGAAATCGATTCGAGTCGATCTCAATTGCTCGTGCACCGATTCGTGCGAAGATCGTTTTCCAATTTCTAATCAACTCGGTCTCGATCGTGTCAAGATCACTCGGACGCCCTGCGGATCTCCGGAGCCTGTGTGTCAGTGAATTAACACCTTCGAGAAGGTATCGCCGACAAGGGGCGACTCTTATTCTAATTGGATCGGACGCGGAATAACGAACGGCGGGGCGCGCGCGCGTGCCGCCTCCAAAAATTGGTCTTCCTCTCCCTCTCTCTGTCTCTCTCTCTTCCTCTCTTTGTGCCTCGCTGTTCGCCGGCCAGATTTATCGCGGGCGTCTTTGTTTTCGCGACTCGACTCGCCACTCAATTTATCCCGTCTTCATGCATTTATTCCGCCATTTGCGCGGCACCGAGGCCCTTTTCCAGCGAGCACGAAGAAGACGCCCGGCCGCTTTGCTGCCCCTTGAATTAATCCCCTGCATACGTTAATCCTAATGAATTCACGAACGCGCGCGCCGTCGTGTCCGACTCCGAGGGGTACGGTCGACAAGGGGTTCCGCGTTACAGGTGCCGGCACGCAAACTCGAGGCCGCGAAGCGAGCCATTAAAATACCATCCCCCGGTGAACCCGGGGTGGCGCGCACACCGACACAGCGCGCTCCGTTCGTTCTTTTCCGCCCGTCGACGCGGAAGTTCACCGGATTTTATGCGACGCCACGCGACGTCGCGTTGCCGAAAAACACACGATGTACCCTCCAACCCCTCCGTCTTTTTTATTATTCGTTGTTAGCCGTGCCCATGAATTCCAGGGTAACGAGACCGCCGCCGAGGTCCCTTCTCGAACAGAGACGTTTGGCACTGCAGCTTTAAAAACGAGGAGGGAATAACTTTCTGGAACAATTCGGTGTCAACCCTTCGACGATCATAGGATTCGACACAAACCTGTGAAGTAGGGTTAAACTGAAGAGTAAGGAATATCCGATTCGTCCCAATTCCCGGACCGAAGGTTTTTCAACATTTTTTCTTGCAGATGTCGAAGCTCAATGTCTATTCATAGGAAATTTATGAACAAATTTGTCCATTCTCAGTTTTACCTATTACTCTCTCACTGTCGAATCTGAACTGATCCGATTCGCCTCGGTCTACTTTGCTGTTTCGCGTTCGCAAGGTTTCTCAAGGAACCTTTTAATGATATTTCTTATTTTTATTGTTACAGCGAGCACGCGGAGGGCCGGATCGGACTCGTCAGAAGTCGGAGGGTTAATTAAGCATCGCGAAGGAAGAAGGTGACCGAGGTCGGCGAACTGGTACCGCCCCGATCCGCCCGTTTTCCATTCCGCGGATCGGAGTTCAGCGCGGATGATTTTCACGGAACGGGAAATGTTTAGGTATTGAAGGCAGCGGATATACACGGGCCCATAGAGTCGCGCGAATGCTCCCAGGAAGATAAGTAGCGACCGAGGTGAATAGACTAACGGGGCGCTTCCAAAGCCGGGAACCGAGGAAAAAGGGGTTGAAAGGGGGATGCAGGCGGTGTCGAGGATTGGTGGTTTCCATGCGTCATGCATATTTACGCTCACATACTAGCCGGGCGAAGATGACGGGGCGCGGGCCGCGACGCGAGGGTTCCGCAAATTGCGAGGACCGTATTTATGCAAATAACCGCGGCGCATTCGCGTCCCGTTCCCCGCGCGCCCGCGCGCCACTTTCCCGACGCAGCGTTCCGACCGCCCGCAAATTGACTTCGTTAGAGTCTGGCCTGGGCTCTTTCAAATCC